TATATATATATATATATATATATATATGTATATATATATATACACATAAAAAAAAAAAAATATATATTTTTTTTTTTTTTTTTTTATATATATATATATATATATATTTTTTTTTTGTGTTTTTCTCTTTCTCTCTCTCTCTCTCTCTCTTTTTTTTTTATATATATATATATATATATATAAAAAAAATATATATATATATATATATATATATATATATATATATATATATATATATATATATATATATATATATATATATATATATATATATATATGGGAAACTTGTGACATAGAGTTTTGTTTTATTTTTTAAAACAATTATAAATATTGCCATACCAACTAAACAGAAAGCTAAACAGAAAAAAACTGACAAAACTACTAGAGCTTTAATTGTACATAAAAAAATATATTAAAAAAATCTAAATTGTATATTGATAATACTGTTGTATTTTACATGCTTGACAATATACAGTTGAAGTCAGAATTATTAGCCCCCCTGTCTATTTTTTTCCACAATTTCTGTTTAACGGTGAGAAGATTTCTTCAACACATTTCTAAACATAATAGCTTTAATAACTCATCTCTAATAACTGATTTATTTTATCTTTGCCATGATGACAGTAAATAATATCTGCTAGAAATTTTTCAAGACACTTCTGTACAGCTTAAAGTGACATTTAAAGGCTTCACTAGGTTAATTAGGCAGGTTAGGGTAATTAGGCAAGTCATTTTATAACAGTGGTTTGTTTAGTAGACAATTAAAAACAAATATTGCTTAAGGGGGCTAATAATATTGACCTTAAAATGGTTTTTTTTTTTTTTTTAAAAAAACCAACTGCTTTTATTCTAGCCGAAATAAAACATAAAATACTTTCTTCAGATGAAAAAAATATAGGAAATACTGTGAAAAATTCCTGAATCTGTAAAACAACATTTAGAAAATATGTGAAAGGAGGGTTAATAATTCTGACTCCAGCTGCATATGTATAGCTGTATAATAATGTTGTGCATTTAATGTCAGTCTGATGATGAGTTTCTCTTTGTGTCTTACGTTGGTTTTCCGGCGGCAGCGGGACAGATTGAGGTACAGAGACACACGCAGCTCCTTAAAGGCCTTGAGTTCATCACCGAATCCTTCTCTGGGAAACTTCCTGAGAGCATATTGATAACGCTGAGCTGCTTCCTTCATCTTCCCTCTCTGAGGAGAAACACACAACACACACTGTCATTACTGCTCTCCTGGACACAATAATGCACCCTTTTCACAAGACTGTTATGAGGCGTTTAAAGTTAAATATCTTAAATATAAAAAAAACGTATGTATATTTGTATTTATGTATGCGTTACATCATCTTTGCATCAAATTACAATAAACTAGTCACCGCTTGTGTGAGGTGTTTGTAATGCAGCATCTATGGGGGCAGGACAGTAAATCTGACATTAATCTCTCCTCCGGCTGCTGATATCAGTCTCACACTATTGTTTTCCTTCTTCTGAAAGTCCTGATAACACCATCACTGAGTTTTTCTTTCATTATTTTAGCAAATAGGATTGTAAAACAATGATTTGTTGTACTCTCTGAGAAACCTGTAAATGTGAAATGAAAATGCGTCGAAAGAAATTGGTCCATTGTGATTGGTCAGTGTCTGTCATGTGATTCTGAGTGCTGACCTTATAAAGCAGGTTTCCCTCTTCCATCAGCTTCTGCAGGAGGATGATCAGGATGTCCGGTTTGGATGTGGCCATTGCCCAGGCTGCGTTACCTACACACACACACACACACACACACAGAGTTACACCAGACCGTTTCCACCCTCACGGCTCAGCACAGGTATGGAATTGGCGTGAACTAAAGTTACCTAAAGAGTGTACCTGTTCGATCATAAGGAGACGTTCTGTAGCCTGACCAGGGTTTAGTGAAAGCAGTTCAAAGAGAGAAGAGTGAAAAACAGCAGAAAGAGACATGCAAAGAGAAAATATACACACACATACAGAGACGGAGACACACACACACATGTTAGCATTGGTGGTTTATGAGGACTCTCCATGAGTGTAATGCATTTTATTCAGTAAAATCCACTTATTCATTCATTTTCCTTCGGCTTAGTCCCTTTATTCATCAGGGGTCACCGAAGCAGAATGAACCGCCAACTTATCCAGCATATGTTTTATACAGTAAATGGCCTTTCAACTGCAACCCAATAGACTCATGTTTATCAGCAAGGGGCGACCCCTGGTGGTTCGGCGGTATGGGTTGTATATAGGGAGGCTCGGCTCAATTATGTTTATTTGCCACAGTTCAGAGAAAGACTGAAAATACAGGAGAAATACGGGAAAATACCTTCACGGGATGATATCGGGATAGAACTGTAAAATACGGGAGAATCCCTGGAAAAGCGGGAGGGTTGACAGGTAATACTACAACTCCTTGAAATGTTTAAAATAAAAACTAAAATTCAAAATTGCCTGGTGTTTTTTTATTTATAACTGTGGAAGAATACCTTGTGTGTACATTTAGACTGATATTTAGTTGATATAAATAATAAGCTTTGCTAATATGAATGTTAATAGTAGCCTGCTTTGGTAAATTTACATCAAAGCATATGACGAATATACTAAATGCTTTTCGGGGGTGGGGGGGTCTGTCATGTTGTACAACGTAAGTAGGCTACTTAGAATTATTAATAAAACATCGTCACTGGCAACGCAAACGAACTGGAAACTTACTTTTGGTTTATTTGTGTTGTGACATGACAGGTGCAGGTGTGAATTGTAAATGACTTCACTTGTATAGGAAGCGTGGGTGCCTGAGCGTGCAAGCCTGAAGATGCAAGTTCAACTCTGCAGCCAGACCCTTCTCATTTTTTTTTTTACAGTTTTGAATTACAATAACAGATCAGGCATGTCCTCATAAACCAAACCAATGTTGTAATGCCTACAGTAGGTCTTACCCATGTCATTATACATGTGTCCTCATAAACCACCAAAACCTCACACACACACACAAGAATTGAAGAATCACCAGCACAAACTCTGGCTTATTTGTGCTTGATTATCTTCACTTACTGATGAGTCCACTATAGTTTTTATGTAAAATTACAGTTTTGTTTTACTTCTCTAGTTTTGTGCATTCAATAAACATAAATAAATAGGCATCCACAATGAATTGGTGTTTGTGTGAATTATATGAATTAATTAAATCAAACAAATATAAATAAATATACATAAATAATAAACAAATAGGGGTGTAACGGATCACGGTTGTTCCGTGATTTGTACGGTTGCTTCGTGATTCGTTACAAGATTTGGAACACCTAAATTTGTAACGATCACAGGAGATCATCTCTCGCGTCATTAAAAAAAAACATATATAAAAGAATTTAGGCTTTCTTGTAAAATATGATGAGAGAAATTATTCAGGATGTGGTGGGTTTATTAGGTTATTAAAGGTGTTTTCGATCACTACTTGTTTAGCCTGCATTCAGTTTAAGCTGCACGATTAATCATTAAAAGATCAGGATCTCAACACCCACGCAACATAAATGATAAATGATGCTGATTTGCATACGTTATACCACTATAAACTAATAATCTTTTTTGTTTGTCGAGTGACTTTTAGTACCATTAATATAATAACTGTTTTATACTCAATTATATTTATATAGAATACACACATATATGCATACATTTATTTATTTAGTTATTTTAGTCCATCAAGTTGTGGCTAACAGAAAGTTACAAATGCAATTACCATTTATTTTATTCATTTTATTTTTATATTTTTTAATAGTTTTAGATTTTCTTTCTTAACTATTATATAACCACACAACCGGTAAACAAGCAAACACACAGCTAAATGACTGATACGGTAACTCTAAACCTCTAATCTACACTAAATAATAGGGGTGAAACGATACACTCAGCTCATGATATGATGTGTATCATGATATAATGTTCATGATTCGATATGCATCACGATATTTGGAATAAAAATTGAAAATTAAACTGAAATGCAAATTTTACCAAGTAAACTATTTTTTATGTATTTCTTTTGTTTCAACTTGTTAAACTGAACCTTCTTTAAGAAAATAAATTAAACAGGCCTGTCTCTGGAAAATAAAACAATTTAAAAACTTCTTAAAAATATTATTGAAATGATAGAGACAAAATTAAGGAACAATTTAAGTAAAGGTGCAAAAAAAAAAAGCTTTCTATTCAATTGAATTTAACAGTAAGAGCTTAAGGCTTTGCTTGGTCACTTGCGTTTTTTGTGTGTGCAAAAAAAAAAATCCACATTTCCTGGTATTTAATTCATATTTAATTAAATTCATTTAGAGATATCTCTAATTACAATTGTGACTAGTCAACTCATTTAGAGATATCTGCAAATATTTTTCAATGGAAGTCAATGGAGGAATATGACTAGTCATAATATATTTGCAGATATCGCCAATCTGATTTCGTACTAGTACAATTGTAATTGCAGATATCTCTAATTGTCATTCTGACTAGTTGAATTATAATTATGACTAGTCAAAATATAATTAGAGATATCTCTAAATATATTTATGGATAGTCAGAACAAGGTTTAAATGCTAAAACGGCTTGCCATACGCGCGCGTCTATCAGTCTGCCCTCTGTAGTAACAGCTCACGGTCAGCTCACGTCATGTGTGATTTTGCGGCCGCCAATACATCATTATATGAAGACAGAATGATATTTTAGGGTGAATTGTACCTTTTAAATACAGTATGTGACTCTTTCAAAACCATTAGGAAGTATCCATGTCTCTGTGCAAAGTATGTAAATCACTGTGAAGACTTTAAAACTTAGGATGTTTGACCCAGTATGCGTGTCAAAAAGCGGACGAGTCTAAAGCAATGACTGTTCAACCGAAATGTTGCCAGACGTCTGATTTTGAGAGGATGAGCCATCCTCTATTTCAGCTCCACTCATCTTGATCTGCTAACATTACTGCTGCTGCAATCTGAACTCACGTGCAACAGCAGGTGGAACGTAGCTCACGTGCAAACAGCTCAACTAATAAGAGAAAACGGACGTCATATCGTAATCAAATCGTCATAACGCCACGAAGCATATTGTGACATTTTTGCATCGCAATAAATCGTACAATGATAAATCGTTACACCCCTACTAAATAATAGTTAATACTTCTGCACTGAACAATAGACGTGCATTAAAACAGACTGACATCTAAACCATCTCTTTGATCCCGGCTTTAATTAACATTTAAGACACATTAACTTTAATCCAGCTCCTTTGTGAATTTAATCTCGGATTTAAATCTCATTTAGGGATTAGAATGGAAATGAATTGCAATATGAACACTGCCATTGTTTAATTACAATAGCAAATCCAGTTCATCGGTTTAATTAAGCGACACGACAGAACTCGAATGAAAAGAAAACCAACATCTACAAATGCTAGCTATACTGTTTATATGAGATTAACCTGTTTACACATTTCTATTTTTGCTATGCTGAAGACTACTTTAGCCATTTTTGGAAAAATTGTTAGTTATTTAAATGGTATTTATTAAATATAAAGTGTATGTTCTGTGTCATCATTAGCAAGAGCAAGGAAAACTACATCAATAATTAGGTAAAGATGTCATGAATCACCTTTAAATATCATCCGTGCCAGCATGTGATGTTATAGAAACGCTAAATTAAACTCTTTTAACTCTTAAATGACTCTTATACACTGTGCTTGTTGTAATGATGAATAATTGTAAGTTAAATGAGCTCAAGTCAATTAAAACAAGTTCAGTTCTGAGGACGCAGCAGCATAACACACACACACACACATGCACACACACGCACACACTCAAACACAAGTCAGTGATGTTGGAGATTTAGGAGGAAAGATGTGCAAATATACTATTTTAAGTATCTTGTGTGTGTTGTAAAATGTAATTCTTTGTAAATGTATCCTATGCTGCATGTCTTGACAGGGTTATGGTTAAAAATAAAATAAAGCACCGTAAGTAACATTTCACACTATCAACAAACTGTTAATTAAGACTGTATACTCAGTAAACAACTAATTTGCTGCTTAATAATAGTCAGTAAGGTAGTAGTTGGGTTTAGGTATTGGGCAGGGTCAGGGATGTAGAATAAGATCAAACTCTATAAGTGTTCATATTTTCATATTCATATTTTAATAATAAACAGGTAATACGCAGTAGTAAATGCTGTGAATTGTTACTTAAAGTGTTCTTGAGATATATAGCACCTTCCCGGTTAAACGAGTGAGTAAATAAATGAATGTGTGTCTCTATCGTGTGTTTCTCACCTAGTTTTGCTCCTTTCTTCAGTAAAGTCAGCACTACTGAGGTGTTTCTGCAGCCGATGGCTCGATCCAGCGGCCTCATCCCACTGTAATCCACATGCTCGATCACAGCACCCTTCTCCACCAGATAATGAACCTCAAACGCACACACACACACACATTTCAAATCACACACAACTTCATCACAGCATCCAGTAGTGTTCAAGAGTCTAACAGTCAACTGATCAAAAGTGACATATATTCATTAATTTTCCTTAGTCCCTCATTTAAGAGGGGTCACCACAGCAGAATGAACCGCCAACTATTTTGGCATGACTTTTACACAGCAGATGCCTTCCGGCCGCAACCCAGTCCTGGGAAACACCCATACACGGTCACATTCTCACATTCAAACACCTATAGTGCATGGATTTAGACTAGGGCTGTGTGATTAATCGAATCGCAATTTGAAACGTTGCAATTAGTTGATCGCAAGAGGCTGCAATATAGAATATATATGGAAACAAAAATAACAAACAACATCTCAAATAAAGTGCTTCAAAACCAGTCCACTATGCTTCAGAAAATTAAACATGCTAGACTTTCTGTGATGGTGTCATGAGGCATCGCAGGCATGGTATTGGTTGTCGAAGAAGAAATGATTGAATCTTGTGTCACAATTTCCATTTCAAGAGTTCACACTTAGCTGATGATTGATTATAAGCAAGTTTGGCATGCTGTCCCAGGAGAGAGCCCTGAGCTCAAAAGGTCCTCAAGCCCTGGGCTCCCTCCCGTTTCCAGGGCGAGAGGGGAGCCTTGAGCTCAGGTAGATCTCGAGAACTCCCCCTTGATAATAGCTGATGACTGAAATGAGTACTAAGAAAAGATATGCAGCAGGGTGAGGGATTGACTGTTAAGGGTGTCACGATCCTCCAAATCCTCGATTCGATTACATTTTCGATTCTAAAGGCACGATTCGATTCGATTTTCGATTATGAATAATTAATTAATTAATGACCAATTAATTATTTGTAGCCTACCGTTTAAACTACCTGACCTGCATGGTGTTTGTTTTACCCATAAACAAATCATACAGTAAATGAATAAAGGCAAGATACACACATAATTACCACCTGTCAATCACTGTTTCTGCGGGACTCGTGAATAGGCAGTGATCTGTGTCGTTATAATGGCGTCGGTAAAAAAGACGCACAACCAACAGGAACCAGCCAACAGTATCTGAGGTGTTCGCTAAAATGACTAAGTACAAGTGAGTGAAAGATTGAAGCAGTCCTCTGACTGCCTGCACCTGCTGTCTCGAGCGCATGGCTGTGAGTGCGTCTGTGTCTGTGTGGTCACATGATGTGCATTTCCAGAGGTAGTGAGGAAGGAGGGCTGCTCAGAAATGCTACACGCCACTGTGGATGTCAAATCGTTGTCGTTCTAAAATGTCATTTAAAAACAACGACAGTGTAAACAGGGTCTGAGTGTGTACTTTTCGCGAGTGGATTTGCAGCGGGGGCGAGCGGAGGATCGCGATGCCGGTGTTGTCTAACGGACGAACCGTACGTAATACGTACATAGCAGAGCTTGCAAAACTGTGTTTTTTTTTTTGGTCGACAACACGAACGTTGTCAACATAACTCACTGGAAATCCAAAATGCTTACACACCCGCGACTTCATCGAAAGAGGAGAGGGTTTAAGCTCTGTCGACGGGTCTCCTGCTTCTGCAGTTTAACAAGCACTTCAACAAGCCTGTTTTTTTCCAGCTTGGCAAGCCAAGCTGACGTGACATGGGGGCGTGGCAGCATCGACCATTCTATTTTTTCATTCGATAATCGAAATCGTGACACCCCTATTGACTGTAGTGCTAAATTTAGATTAATCAATTCACTTGTTGTGCATGTTTTTGGAATGTGGGAGGAAACCGGAGGACCCGGGGAAAACCCACGCGAGCACGGGAAGAACATGCAAACTACGCACAGAAACGACCGCCGGCTTGTTAAAAGACTAGAACCGGTGGCGTTCTTGCTGTGAGGCGACAGTGCTAACCACTGGGCCACCGTGCAGCCCTATGGAGGGATAGGTGAAGAGGTAGGGATGGAAGGGGGGATTCTTCAAATCGAAGATGACTGTAGTGAAAAAACGCTGGCTCTTTATAGTGGGTTAGGAATGGCCTGATTGGTGTATCATACATGCTAATGCAGAACCAGCCGTGTCCAATCATAATCACATGATCCTCTCGGAATTAGTTTATGAATAAACTTCACTTGTCGTTTACAACTCCCCAACACAACTACTCTATATCAAGGAAAACATGCTGAAATCGTGTGATCTGACTGTGCTTTATTACTAGCCAATCCGCTTGTTAAGTGGTGACACGTATGTAAGACTGTTTCCGGGTCCAAGCCGCCACTCATTTGAGTTTAGAAATTATTCGTTTATGATCACTTTTGATTGATATCACACATTAAAGTTAATTTTATATACAGTCATAGTGTACACAACAATCTCTGGGCTTGCTGCATCACAAATACCAACATTTTAAGAAATTATAAAAAAAATGAATCACTCTCTGGCCATCGGATATTAGGCATGGACATATATACTGCGATCGTGATTTTCGAAAGTATTAAATCGCTTTGTAAACGTTTATTATTACCATTTCATGAGTCTCCCCATACAGTTGAATAGAGCTCTTGGACTCGGAAGCCGCTTTGCGTGACGTCACATTTAACAAGCGGATTGAGTGAGCACTAGGGATGTAACGGTATTGTAAATACCGTCATACCACAATATTAATTTTTTTCGATATTACCGTAGTCGCATGACTCGGTAAAACTATAGGTCTTCTGAGAAAATTTGCTCAGGCGAATGAAGCGAACGGGAGGTACCGGAAACTACAATTCCCATCAGCCCAGGCTTGGCCATAATCCCTTGCGGTCTGTTGTCGCTACAGATCCAGTAATGCGGAAATGGAGTGTGCTGCTAGAAGCGGGGATGAAAAAGAGCTGGAAAACCCTAAAGCGGGTGTTGTAGCCGCGCGCGTACTGAATAGCTGTGTTGTCGCGCAAGTTCTTATCAGCTGTGTTGTCGCGCAAGTTCTTATCAGCTGTGTTGTCGCGCGAGTTCTTATCAGCTGTGTTGTCGCGCGCGTACAGTAAAGCGGGGACGGAGGGTATGTCGCGTCGCGGGGGCACTTTTGATCATTTTGGAAGGGAACTTTCTATCCAAGACTAAAAAGGGCATGTGCACTGCACAGGTTGAGCACTGTGTGTGCACGTGCCTGCAAGTTGGGGAATACGACTAATCAGTCATGGGGACTGCAGAAACACAGCACACTGTTCAGATTGATGCAGACATGAGACCTCTATCTCACTCATGGTTTGTCCTCTCAAGTGGGGGAAAGACAATGCACAACGTTACCCACTGCTGTCAACATGGGCCAAGTCATATCTCTCTGTCCCAGAAACCTCAGTCCCAAATGAGAGGGTTTTTTTCTGTTGCAGTGGACATTGTAAATACCCAGAGATACCAGCTTTTACCAGATTATAGTTATATGATAATTTTCCTTTAAACCCATCTCTATCTAAGTGAGTGAGTGATTAAATGTTGAATGTGATGAGTTTTCAACAATACTAAATTGAAACTTTATTTTTTTACATGGTTTAATAATTTTTTGTTATTAAAATTGAAGTTCCTGTTTCAAAGCTTACAGATAGATGGCTAATTTGTATGTCATTGACACTTTTGGCACTTTTTTGGAGTATTTTCATAAGTTTTGTTTTTTCCTGTAAATGATTCAATAAATACCGTACCGTGACATTCATACCGAGGTATTACCGTACCGTGAAATTCTGATACCGTTACATCCCTTGTGAGCACACTAACGTTTTGCCCAATCAGAATTGCACAACTGAACTATGCCCACAATAAAAAAAGAAAACAAACAGGAAAGCGCTGACAAGTGGGATGATGGTGTCTGCCGCTTCAGAAGCATTAATAGACAAATTAATATCCAAGACAAACAGCATTTGTAATATGGGAATATTTTAGTTTCAAAGTCACAGACACCAAACAAAAACAGGGATATTTTAAAAGCTGTTGCAGAATTGTTACCACGGCTTACAGATTATGGAGCTGAAGCTTGAATTAAATTTAAATCAGCCACAAGCTTGAATTAAATCATAATTCAAATCGCAATCGCAGTATCTGTCAAAAAAAAAAAAAACGCAATCAGGTATTTTTCCCCATACCCCTATAGTTTGAACTACGGGGGAAACCGGAGCACCCGGGGGAAACCGGAGCACCCAGAGGAAACCCACACCAACAAGGGGAGAACATGCAAACTCCAGACAGAAATGCCAACTGGCCCAGCCGTGAGTCGAAGCATTACTATTATTATTATTATACCTAATAATTTAGCCTTTTTAGTTAAAACTGAACACAATCATGCTTGTTTTTCTGTTAAGTAGACTGTTGATTTAAATAAATAATTAATGAATACAGCATTGACTTTTATTACTTAAGTACATTAAATTAAAAAACAATACTTAATTACAATAAATATCAGACACTCTTTTAACACCACTTTTAACAAAGTCTTTTTCTAGTACTTTAATTCAAGTATGGCTTTCAGTACAGCACTGGACAGACTAGTGATGGACTTACGATGTCTGCATCTCCGTAGAAAGCCGCCAGATCCAGCGGGGAGCGTCCATTCTTGTCCGAGTGGTCAATAACTGCCCCCTTCTCCACCAAAAACTGCACCACGCTCTTGTGTCCCTTTAAACAGGCCCAGCTGAGCGGTGTCAGCCCTTCCTTATCCACCGACGCCACTGAGGCTCCTGGGAAAAGCAGAGGATGTATGGCAAGCCCTTTTCACTTTCATTCAGTCACACACTGTAAGAAAAATTATTGCTGACTTTTTTTTTTAGCAGAATGAAGTGAACCTTTTAGTCATCTCAACTTACATCAATCAGACTGATTGAACACAATTTACGACCTTGTAAGACTTTTTAATACCTTTTAAATGCCTTCATTTTCTCATAATTGATTTATCATCTTTGAATACTTTTTAAGACCCCGCGGACACTCTGTGTAAGGAAGATAATTAAATCATATTGGTGAATAGAGTTAAAAATTGTACTTTTGTTATAAGTTCTATTGAGATGGATTTATTGATTAGGTGTTGGCCCGACTGATTAAGGGTGTACTCACACTATGTACAGTTGCCTTGAACTGGGCCAAAGCACGCTGGTTACCCCTCCTGTGTCCCCTGACGGCCCGCACTCACATCGCATTAGGCACATATACGTCATCGATGCTGCGCTGTTCAGTAAGCGCTCTCTCGCTCAGCAGCCACAGTGGAGATTTCTCTAGTTATATAGTTTAAGTCGTTTGACATGCAGTGACACGCAGTCAAATATTTTGCAGAACAGATCAGCCACTGCTGACGCTCTTAAACAGTCATAAAGTCCTCGTGCTGCAGGAATGAGGAGGTTTGCTGAAGGTGCAGCTGTGGTGCAGTGAGGGGTTTGCGTCTTCAGTTTGTGTTCATTAGACAGTAAGAATGATTAATAAACGCATATTAAACAGTCCTTTATAAGTCACGTCTCGCTTTCAGCTTCGGGCTCAGGTGCATTTTGCACTCACACACAAGCGTACTGTGGCAAAGCCCATAAGAACTGCGCTCTGGCCCCCCTCTTCCAACAGGGCCAGGGCCAGCCAAGTGAACCGTACCTGAGCCCGATTCAGAGCACTCACACTTCTCAAACAATCCAGGAAATGGGCCTGGGCACAGTTCGGATAACATAGTGTGAGTAGGCCCTAAGAGCTGTTTGAGGCCGTACTCACACTAGGTACAGTTGCCTCGAACCGGGCCAAAGCACGCTTGTCCCCCCTCCCGTCTTCCCCGACGGCCCGCACTCACACCACAAACGGGCCTCGGCACGCTTACGTCATCGCTGCTGCGCTGTTCAGCGAGATGTGCTCTCTCACTCAGCAGCACAGAGGAGATTTCTCTAGTTCTATCGTTTCAGTCATTTGATATGCCGTCAAATATTTCATCAAACAGTCCTTAGGGATGCGGGGACACGCAGTCAGATATTTCGCCGAACAGATCCACCATTTTGGCGCTCATAAACAGTCATAAAGCTCTCGTGCTGCAGGAATGAGGAGGTCTGCTGAAGGTGCAGCTGTCGTGCAGTGAGGAGTTCTCGTCTTTAATAAACTACGACAGTTTGCGTTCACTGAACAGTAAGAATGATTAATAAATCCATATGAAACAGTCCCTTAAAAGTCACGTCTCGCTTTCAGTTTTGGGCTTTGGCGCGTTTTGCAAAGCCCAAGTGAACCGCGCTCAGGCACACCTCTTCCAACCGGGCCAGGGCCGGCCAAGTGAACCGTGCTTGAGCCCGATTCAGCGCACTCACACTTCTCAAACGATCCGGGAAACGGGCCTGGGCACAGTACGGATGGCATAGTGTGAGTAGGCCCTAAAATGAATTAAGACCTACGCACAATATTAATGATCGAGGGGGTGGGTGTAGCGGATAAAAATTAGGACCGGGAGGTTCGCTCACTATTATTTTGCCCTAGGTTGCCTCTATGCATGCGCCTGCCCTATAAATATTTAGATATTAATCAATATTTAAATATTCAAATTAATCACGTGCGTTAATGCGCTATTTTTGAGAGCTCTAATAGTTTGCATTCCTGCTTTCTATTTATACATTTATTACTTTTTACCAGAAGTCTTTATTTCAGTATGTTAATGTACTTCCAACTGAAAGGAAATATTGAGTAGGGGACGGGGCTATCTCTCTCTGCACATCAGTCTCTCGTAGCAAACTAACGGTTAGGGGGACGTGGCTAAGAATTAAAGAGAAAGAGTCAAACACTTCCGCCTCATTCACACGGGGCTTCAGCGTCAACGCTTGACTGAAGGCGTGTCTGACGTTGGGGCTGAAACGATCGTCATAGAAGCGTCAGCCAATGAAATTCAGTCAGCAATAGGCCACTGTCTAGCTGGTGTATTTGCATACAGCGATCTGATTGGCTGACGCTTCCATCAAAAGCTTCCATTGAAAAGTTGAGCTAGTCCCAACTTCTGCAGCGAGCAACGCCTCTGAAGCAGCGCTGAGGGATCCACAATGCAGTTCAGCAACGCCTGACGTCAACCATTCAAAGTGAATGGGAAGCGTTCAGTTTCAGTTTCCTTTATTTATGTCATTCAAATCATCACAATAGAATTGTAATGCAGAACGAAATTACGTTGCAACAGACCCAACAAGAACATAAAAAAAACATCACTATAAAAACACTATAAAATCCTAACATGATAAATAAGCTTTTATAATTACATAAAATATAAAACATATAATTATATAAGATATAACCCATTTTTTAAAAATCTCTGAAGAGAATAGCTTAATACTTAAATACCTATTTCACCATTTGTTGTAATATTAACAATTTATGCTAGTTTAACAAATTTATTTATTATTTAACACTAGCTTTCAACAATGCTTAAGAAATGGTATTATTTAAAAGTCTTATAATGACAGGATAAAAACTGTCTCGAAACCGCACTGATTTGCTCCTCAGACTTCTGTAACGCCTGCCTGATGGCATGAGTGAGAGCAGGCTATGACCAGGGTGGGTTGGATCCCCTAAAATGTTATTTGCCCTAAACAGACAACGGCGTTGGTAAAGTTCCTCGATAGATGTCATTTTGACTCCAACAGACCTTTCAGCTGACTTTATGATCCTCTTAATGGTGCTCTTATCAGACACACTGCTATTCTCATACCAAAGGGAGATGCCATTAGTAAGAACACTCTCAACAGCTCCTCTGTAAAAAGTTGTGAGGATTGATTGGCTGATGCTCTTTTCAACCTTCTCAGAAAGTGCAGTCGCTGGAGCGCCTTCTTCGCAAGACAAGTGGTATGGAGAGACCAAGTCAGGATCTCAGTAACATGGACCCCCAGGAATTTTATCTGCTGTACAGTCTCCACAGCAGTGTTATTAATATATTGACACTGACGCCCCGTGTGAATGGGGCGTTAGACAGATGCTCAGACTGAAGACAAAGCCAAACTTTTTTCAGTACAAAAACTTGCATAGATGAATTGTTCACTTAATAAATCACAATGAGAGCTAGCAAAATGAACATTGTACATATAGGGCCCTATCATACAACCGGCGCAATGTGGCGCAAGGTGCGACCCAATTGTTATTTGCTAGTTTCAGATCGGCGCAAGAGTCGTTTTAAGGCGTTGCGCCACGCTTTTTAAATAGCAAATGCATTTGCGCTGATATGTGCGCCCATAGGCGTTCTGGTCTAAAAAAGCAGGCGTGTTTTGGCGCGTTGCTATTTTGAGAAACTGTAATAGTCTGTTTTTTAGACCAGAACAAAGCAGGTCTAAAGTCTGGCGCAGGGTGCGCCTCGCTTACACACTGCTTAATACTCACAAGATGTATAGCAATACGCAAATATCTTTACATATAAAATAGAAATAAAACATTAAGGATATATATAGGATATAATAAGAATAGATATAGGATATAAATATAAAGGATTAAAATATTACAAAACATATTATTTTCTAGCCTACATGAATATGAAAAATCACTGCTTTTATGCCTTCTTCATCTCGGGAGGCTTTTTCAGTTCATTCATAACAATTTGCTTTTGTATAATGTTATTATTATTAGCAGTGTTATTTATTATATAAATATCTATATTTGTCTTATTAAAAACAAGCTCAGATTTGTCCACCTGTCAGGTTTTAGACATATGGGGCACAGCATGTGTATTAGGATATAACTCGTTATTATTGTTCATTTATTCGTTTGCTGAAAATTAGAACTGAATTTAGAAATAGATTTGAAGCAAATCTTTGCGCTTAACAAACAAAATTAATTATGTCTGTGCGTACAAGGTTTCCCTATCCACGAATCTCTCATTGTCGCTCTGTAGATGCTCTGTTTAACTGTTTTCTGGCTAGTGAAAATGTTCAGTTCTTCCACTTCCACTTACTTTACGCCATTTAAATAGCAAATGTGCTCATGGCGCGATGTAACTAACTATTAAAGGTAATGGGAGACGAGACTCTGATTGGTTTATTCTCAAAACACACCTATAACTCATTAAGAAAATAAACTCAACCCTTTTAGACCGTGCGCCACGGCGCAAAGCGGATTTTTCCTTCCTTAAATTAGCAAAAGTGGATTCTGACACGCCCTGAAAGCGTTTGAGTTTTGCGCTTTGCGCATGGACCTTTAAAATAAAGCCCTTAGACTTTACACAGACTTTAATCTGCTTTAATACAATCTGTATCATATAAACAGACAGTTTGGATCTTTGCAAAGGATAAAGTACTGATATCTCACCTTTAGACAGCAGGAAGTCGGCTGTACTCAGATGTCCTTCACATGCCGCCACCATGAGCAGCGTTCGGCCCTGTTTATCACTGACGTTCACATCGGCTCCGTGCTGCAGGAGCAGATCTGCAATCTGAGAAAGAGAGACGTTTCTCCATTAAACATTTCTGCTGGAGGAAGAGGAGTTGTGGTTTGGTTGGCGCAGCCACTCACCTGCCAGTGTCCCTGTCGGACTGCGCAGAACAGAGCACACGCTCCTCTCCTGTTTACCTGCTGAACTTGCGCTTCCCGCTTTAACAGGAAGCTGCACACCTCCATCTTCCCCCGTCCTGCGGCTGCAGTCAGAGCTGAGGAAAGAGCAGAGGATTATCATTAAAGTCAGAATAAAAGCAAAACAGGCGACGCGGTGGCACAGTAGGTAGTGCTGTCACCTCACAGCAAGAAGGTAGCTCGGCTGGGTCAGTTGGCATTTCTGTGTGGAATTTGCATGTTCTCCCCTCATTGGTGTGGGTGTTCCAGTTTTCCCCACAGTCCAGACATGCGGTACAGGTGAATTGGGTAGTGTATATTGTATGCGTGTAAATGAGTGTGTATGGATGTTTCCCATTGAAGGGTTGCAGCTGGAAGGGCATCTACTGCGTAAAACATTTGGTGGATAAGTTGGTGGTTCATTCTGCTGTGGCGACCCCAGATTAATAAAGGGACTAAGCCAAAAAGAAAATGAATGAATGAATTTAAGCAAAATAAACAATATCAATGGCATGTCATTTACTCTGAATCTGGATTCTGGACAACATGCATTGATTTGTGAATTAAAGGCACAGTGTGTAATTTTGGCCACTAGAGGGCGTCTATTCACAACAAACAAAGGCATATTTTAATGACGCAGAGTGGAATCAGAGTCGATCATCAGACAGAAATCATCGCTAGTTTCTCTGGATATGAACATTCTAGCAAACGTTTGGGATAATATAAGGGTGCTTTTACACCTGTGAATCGATTCAGTTGTTCCGAAACAGAGATTACAATTGCTACATTGTTGCTCTTTGCTCTTGGAGCGGTTCGCTTTCACACTGCAAAGTTTCTAATCGGACCAAAAGAGCTAAAACAAGACACGTGCGAGTAAACTCTCCTCACATTGGTCAGAGTGTCAGGGTTTATTTTGCAGCGTCCCGCTCAGCTGTCAGGAGAGGTGGTGGTTTGGTGGTGATTGACAGGGTGTGCGCGTGACGTGTCTGAGGAGAGACGCGGTAGGGAGGGGTGAGAAGGGTGCGCGACGATGCCTATTTGAGGACTGGGAGAGAGACGCGAGATTACCGGGAGATCATCACTCGTTTGCGGGCATCCGGAGACTCGCGAAACTTCCCGCCCTACTCACAATTCTCTCTTCATATAGCCGTAAGCCTATTACATATTCATAAAACACTGTGATATAACCGCGCTCGGATCGGATCGCTTTCTCACTGCAATCGAACCGCTCCAGGGTTCGTTTCAATCGAGCCGAGACCACCTCATTCAAGCGATCTCGGAGCGATTACTTTGGCGCGGAACAGAGCGCGATTGCCCTGTTCACATATGCCAAACGAACCGCGCTAACTGAGCAAACGAGATACGTTCCGAAACAAAAGTGTAGGTGTGAAAGCACCCTAAGTATAAGAGTCAACTTTCTAGGGGATTTTGAATATTGTAATGAAAATAATGTTACATAATGTGCCTTTAAATGGAGCTCTATGTAAAATTCAAAAAGCGACACCAGTGGACATGTAGGTCTGCAGGTAGCAGATCATTTTTTTGTTTTGTTCAAATTTGCAGTGATATACTGATAGTGAACATCCAGGCAAAGTCCACACTGCTGAGAGCAATGTTTAGACAGATATGTAAATGATTACCTGTTTTTTTTTTCTTCTCTCAATAACAAAATAAACAAGAAAAATGATGAAAAAGCAGTTTAGAAAGCGTCGGATCATGATGATATTGATACAAGTTTGATTATAAAGTATATTTGAGTCTACAGACTATATAAATCTGTCTGGGAAAGGCCCAATCCCAATTCTACCCCTTAGCCCTTCCTGTAACCCCTACCCATCGTTTTGCGCGTGCACGCCAAGTGGTAGGGGTGTCCCAATTCTCTTTAGCTTGAAGGCGTAGGGCTAAGGGGAAGGGGTGAATAGCCCTTCGAACGAACTTGAAACCAAGGGGTAAGAAAATTTCCCAGAATGCACCAGACACAGCGGCAGTATTGCTGCACCCGGAAGTAAAGAGATCCACAAATTAGTATTTTTTTGTCATCATTACTAATTTTTACTTCAAACAAACAAATGTTTTAATATATTCATTACCATGTTCGTGTTTTACCGTCATGCTTAAAAAAAAAAAAAAACCCTCTCTAAATTTCACGATCTCTGATCCCAATTAATAACTCCTGTACAGCAGTCCCACAATGTTCTGACACTGGAATACCCTGTCAGTAATGTCTAGTGGCTGTAAATTGCCGTTTTGCAGTGTCTGCTATAATGTTAATGTTGTTTTTGGTGTGTTTACATTGATGAATATGGCCACTGTGTAAATACACTGTAAAGTTACGATCTTAATGCCACAGTAGACTGTTATAGATAAATACCAGAAAATAACACAACTGGAATCACTACAGCAGTCGCCATCGTCTGATCTCACAGGAGAAGCAGGAGATCGTGAGGACATATGATGACGTGCGCAGGTGCTGTCCCAATTCTTAGGGGTAAATTTTGAAGCCCTTCCCCCTAACCCTCGGTTGTAAGGGCCAAGGGGAACGGTAAGGGGTAGAAAATATAATTGGTATTGGGCTTAAAGCTTGGATTAATTACTTTCATTGTATGAAAGATTGAGGGCAGTGGGTAACACGTTTGCCTCACAGCAAGAAGGTCGCTGGTTCGATCCTCGGCTCAGTTGGCGTTTCTGTGTGGAGTTTGCATGTTCTCCCTGCGTTCGCATGGGTTTCTCCGGGTGCTCCGGTTTCCCCACAGTCCAAAGATATGTGGTACAGGTGAATTGGGTAGGCTAAATTGTCCGTAGTGTGTGTGTATGTGTGGATGTTTCCCAGAGATAGGTTGCGGCTGGAAGGGCATCAGCTGCGTAAAAACTTGCTGGATAAGTTGGCGGTTCATTCCGCTGTGGCGACCCCAGATTAATAAAGGGACTAAGCCGACAAGAAAATGAATGAATGAATGAACGAATGATTTTACAGGGCAGAATGGCTCTTTTCTAGGACATTTCTGAGTGTTTTATGCGTCATAAAACAGAAATATTGACATCACATACTACAAAAACATCATTCATATTAAAATAAATCTTTCATCAGCATCCCATGAAGTCACTGAGGGTCTCCCTTTTTAAGCCTCGCTACAAAAACTTGTGTTTTAGCTCATTTAAAGTCTTACATTGATCTAACAGAGCTGAAGGTTAACTCTGTGTTTCAGCAGAGCTGGGAATTCAAGTGCTTGTTTGCTCCTCGAGAATCAAATCGAACAGAAAAAAAACAACAACTGAACACTTCTCTATTTTTATAGTCGTACGAGTCTGTTCATGCCCACAAACACCACTGAAATCTCACAGCTCAAGAATACATTCAAACAATAAGAAAAGGGTATTTTGCTTGAGAATTCAGCCTATTTTCAGCACCACAATGCAGTTTCACATTGAGATTTCATTATAATTATAAGAACATTTCAGCAGGATTCACTGAAATCAAGTGGACATGCCACCAACCTGACCAACACACACACACACACACACACACACACACACACACACACACACACACACACACACACACACATACACATACACATACACACACACACACACACACACACACACACACACACACACACACACACACAGAGAGTGCGAGCCCCCCACAGTGCAACAGTAAACACAGGGATTGTTCCGTCTGCATCCCACACAAAACGTCTGCTGCACATCAAAGAGCTCAAATGATGAGGAATCAACATCTCTTTGATCTTCAGAGATAAAAGAACCCACGGTAACTCTCACAACTCTAAACTTCTGTCTGACTGTCTGGAACAACCCATATCTTAGCAACCACACACACATGCCAACACTACCCTGGCAACCACCTGAAAAACCAAAGCAGCAACCTAGCAACATTACACTCACCGGCCACTTTATTAGGTACAGCTTACTAGTACAGGGTTGGACCCCCTTTTGCCTTCAGAACTGCCTTAATCCTTCGTGGCACAGATTCAACAAGATATTGGAAATATTCCTCAGAAATTTTGCTCCATCTTGACAGGATAGCATCACGCAGTTGCTGCAGATTTGTCGACTGCACAACTATGATGCCAATCTCCCGTTTCACTACATCCCAAAGGTGCTCTATTGGATTGAGATTGGTGACTGTGGAGGCCATTTGAGTACAGTGAACTCATTGTCATGTTCAAGAAACCAGTCTGAGATGATTCATGCTTTATGACATGATGACTGCTGGAAGTAGCCATCAGAAGATGTGTACACTGTGGTCATAAAGGGAATGGACATGGTCAGCAGCAATACTCATGTAGGCTGTGGCGTTGACATGATGCTCAATTGGTACTGATGGACCCAAAGTGTGCCAAGAAAATCTCCCCCACACCATTACACCACCATGACCAGCCTGAACCACTGATATAAGGCAGGATGGATCCATGCTTTCATGTTGTTGACGGCAAAATCTGATCCGACCGTCCGAATGTGGCAGCAGAAATGGAGACTCATCAGAGCAGGCAACGTTTCTCCAATCTTCTATTGTCCAGTTTTGGTGAGTCTGTGTGAATTGTAGCCTCAGTTTCCTGTTCTTAGCTGACAGGAGCGGCACCCGGTGTGGTCTTCTGCTGCTGTAGCCCATCCGCCTCAAGGTTGGACGTGTTGTGTGTTCAGTGATGCTCTTCTGCAGACCTCGGTTGTAACGAGTGCTTATTTGAGTTACTGTTGCCTTTCTATCAGCTGGAACCAGTCTGGCCATTCTCCTCTGACCTCTGGCATCAACAAGGCATTTGCGCCCACAGAACTGCTGCTCACTGGATGTTTTCTTCATTTGGGACCATTCTCTGTAAACCCAGGATGGTTGTGTGTGAAAATCCCAGTAGATCAGCAGTTTCTGAAATACTCAGACCAGCCCGTCTTGCACCAACAACCATGTCATCTTAAATCCCCTTTCTTCCTCATGCTGATGCTCGGGTTGAACTGCAGCAGATCGTCTTGATCATGTCTACATGCCTAAATGCATCAAGTTGCTGCCATGTGATTGGATGATTAGAAATTTTCTAATGACCTAATGCACCTAATAAAGTGGACAGTGTGTGTGTGTGTGTGTGCAGGGCCGGAGCAAGCTGAACTGCCGCTCTAGGCAAAGGACGGTCACGCCGCCCTCAAACCTAAAGTAAAACCGCCCTAGACGCGGCCATAACTGAGGCGCGGGTGGCGAGGGTAGTTCAGGGGACGCCACCCTCTCTATTCTGCCGCGCTAGACGCGGATATAACTGAGGCACGGGTGGCGAGGGTAGTTTCGGGGACGCCGCTCTCTCTATTCTGCCACCCTAGACGTGGATATAATTGTGGGCACGGGTGGCGAGGATAGTTTCGGGGATGCCGCTCTCTCTATTCTGCCACCCTAGACGCGGATGAGGGCGCGGGTGGTGAGGGTAGTTTCGGGGACGCCGCCCTCTCTATTCTGCCGCCCTACGCGGCCGCCTAGGTTGCCTCTATGGAAGCGCCGGCCCTGTGTGTGTGTGTGTGCGAGTGAGTGTGTGTGTGTTTTTATAATTTATTTATATATTTATTTGTATATTTATAAGCAACAAACCAAACATGCAACACTACCCTGGCTACCTGGGTAGTTTTCACTACCTGAAACACTGAACTTGAATATTATTGCATTTTATAGATACAACTCATAATGTTAAATAGATAGTTTTATATTTTATATTTACAAATTACGTCTTTGTTTAAAGAGCCCATATTATGGGTTTTTGAAAATTCCCCTCCATGTAGTGTGTAACACAGCTCTAAATGAAGTGAAGTATCCAGCTAAGGCTTAAATCTGTTAGTGTACAGTGTTTAAAACGGTTGATTCATCTATAAAAGAGTCGACTCATAGTGCTTCAAATGAGTCGCCTTGATACCGACTCATTAGGTGTTTCGCCATGACGTACGAACGAAACCAAGTTATTCACGTGCACGCGCAAACCCGGGAGATTTCAAACCTGAAGCCCCGCCCTCTGACGCAGAAACCCAGACACACACACACACCCACAAACACACGCACACCCACAAACACACGCACACAAACATGCCGGTCGATTGAAGTCACACTGCAGATGGACATATATTGAGTCTCTACCCCAAGATGAAACATCAGCATTATAACCAAGCAGTTGGAAACTTCTGGAAACTACATGCTACAAAGAATATTTCATCTGAGTTTGTTAAAGGAAGGATCAGTAAAGAGTTACTGATGGACGTCAGGATGGGTTTCTTCCAATTCTCAAGTGTAAGTACATGCGGTTAAAGTTGTTGCCTCGTTTACTCTAGCTTGTAAATGTATTTAGTTGTGATTTGTTACTTGTAACCGCGTGTACTGTATCAGGTTAACTGGATATTTTATCTTATCGCGTGCAAAGTCACGTTAAAAACGCGACGCGTGCTGCTTGTTTATGGAGCTCCGTGCTAGAGTTCTGCTCCCGCGATTTATTCGGAAATTTATTCCCGCGCCGCAGAAATCTGGCGCGGGGACAGCCGCGGGAATAAATTTCCGAATAAATCGCGGGAGCGGTCGGTAACGGGTTTAATTTGGGACGGGAGCGGGCTGTCTAGCAATATCACAGATATTGCTATGCGAATTAGAAAGAGAGTCTGCGTGGTGCTTGTGTGTGTGTGTTAGTGCGCACGCGCGCGTATGAGAGAGAGCGAGAGAGAGAGAGAGAGAGAGAGCGAACGAACGAACGAACGAACGAGCTTTGTGCTGTGTGTGTGTGTGTTTAAACAGACAGCTTGGCTGTCTGGACTGTATACTGGGTGATTTTTGGTTGTGTTCTCCGCTCCGGGCCGGGGACCGGGCGCGGCGGGCAGAAAACGGAGCGGGTTTTCAGGCTAAAACCTGGCGGGTGCGGGCGGAAGCGGGAGCGTTTTCATCCGGAGGTGTGTGTGTGTTTTTGTGTGTGTGTGTGTGGTATGGCGAGTACACGACTGTCTCCTTCGTTCGGTTATCCGTGGCACTATCCACTCACCATAGTGTGGCAGCTAAAATCCACGTCTACACTATCGAGCGTGTATGAACTGTGATTACTTTTTAAATTGCTGATTAGCTATTGGCCATTTCCCTCTCTGACTGAAGGCAGTCGACCAATCGCGACAGACTGTCATCGGTCCAATCAGCGCAGATTAGCTCCGCGCTAAGGAGGGGTTTGGGAACAAATGAATCACTGGACGATTCATACAGGAGTCGCTGGGATAATTAGCTAAAAATAAATGCAGATTATAAGACCATGAAAGTGTTTTTTGACCTTGCATGCATATTAGACTGTTGTTGGAGACCCTTACAACCAGGATATGACCCTATTTCATGTATAATATGGGCTCTTTAACAAAATCCTCAAGGCAAAAATGAACAGAAATAAAGTGTGTGGCACTGATCCACTCTACTGTAGCATATTATAGGCTCAATAGACACAATTATGAGCTCAGTAAACAATAACGCACACAGAAATGTCTACACAGGGAAATACACATTTAAACAAGAAAGCCCAGGAGTTTTTTTTGGCAAAGTCTTTTATAATGTACCCACTGAATCCAGAGAGCTCAAGAGGCAAACACAAGAACAAGACTATGTTTCTGATCATGATATTTTTCCCCTGACAAAACATCTACAGACAGCCACATTTCACTGCAAGCTTTCTAATGGAACAGAAGTAAAGACACTGAGAGAAAAACATGAAGAAGATGAAGTGAGCGTACCTGTTTCTCCCCACAGAGTGTCATGAGCATCAATCTGCACCGACAGCTCATCATTCATTGCCAGTAAACCTTCCAGAACCTACCAAAACACAAAATTGACAATATAGACAAAATAGAAAACACACACACACAACATATATATATATATATATATATATATATATATATATATATATATATATATATATATATATATATATATATATAGTTGAAGTCAGAATTATTAGCCGCCCTGAATTATTAGCACCTGTTTAGTTTTTTCCCCAATTTCTGAGAGCAGATTTCTTCAACACATTTCTAATCATAACAGTTTTAATAACTCATCTCTAATAACTGATTTATTTTATCTTTGTCATGATGACAGTAAATATTTATATATATATTAAATATATTTGACTAGATATTTTGTCAAGACACTTCTATACAGTTTAAAGTGATATTTAAAGGCTTAACTAGGTTAATTAGGGTAATTAGGCAGGTTAGGGTAATTAGGCAAGTTATTGTATAATGATGGTTTGTTCTGTAGACTATTGGCAAAAAAAATATAGCTTAAAGGGGCAAATCATTTCGACCTTAAAATGTCTTTTAAAAAAATTTAAAACAGCTTTTACTGTAGCTGAAATAAAACAAATAATACTTTTTCTAGAAGAAAAAATATTATCAGACATGCTGTGAAAATTTCCTGAATCTGTTAAACATCATTTGGGAAATATTTACAAAAGAAATAAAATTCAAAGGGGGGCTAATAATTCTGACTTTAACTGCACACACACACACGCACGCACGCACGCACGCACACACACACGCACACACACGCACACACACACACACACACACACACACAATAGATGAGTGAACATATAATAGAACTTTTATCTACTTGTATGTATGTATATATCATGACATGATGTAAAACAGATTAATAATGTGCGTAATATATTGTATAGAAATGGTGCAGTAGGGCGGGGGGGCTCTGTTGGAGCAAAGATAATTAGTTTCTGCATTTTAAATATTTTCGAAATAGTTTTTTTTTTATTGACCAAAATATAAATTAAAAGATCTGAACACAAAAGCCACAAAGAAAACACGGTCAAAAAACCCTGCTACACCTGCCAGCAGATCACCCATCACCTGTGTGCCCTTACTTAAGCAGGTGAGCTGACGTGAAATGTAGGTGGAGCGAATCCATATCACCAAACCACTCGATACCAGACACAGAATGATACAGCATAATATAATTCATCTTAATTACTCAATAATCATACAACAAATAAACAAAGTATACAATTGTATACTTTGTTTATTTGTTGTATGATTATTGAGTAATTAAGATGAATGTTAATTAAGTTATTAAGATGCACTAATTAAGATGTTAATTATGATGGTAGAAAGATGGTAATTAAGATGAATATTATGTAAGTTATTATAGATAAAATTATTATTATTATCATAGATTTTATTATTATAATTTTTATATGGCGAGGCAGTGGCGCAGTAGGTACTGCTGTCGCCTCATAGCAACCTCGGCTCAGTTGGCGTTTCTGTGTAGAGTTTGCATGTTCTCCCTGCCTTTGCGTGGGTTTCCTCCGGGTGCTCCGGTTTCCCCCACGGTCCAAAGACATGCGGTACAGGTGAATTGGATAGGCTAAATTGTCCGTAGTGTATGAGTGTGTGTGTGAATGTGTGTGTGTGTGGAAGTTTCCCAGAGATGGGTTGCGGCTGGAAGGGCATCCTCTGCGTAAAAATTAGCGGTTCATTCCGCTGTGGCGACCCCGAATTAATGAAGGGACTAGGCCACAGGTGTCAAACTCAGTTCCAAAAGGGCCGCAGCTCTGCAGAGTTTAGTTCCAACCCTAATTAAACACACCTGATCAAATTAATTGAGTCCTTCAGGCTTGTTTGAAACCTTCAGGTAAGTGTGTTGGAGCAGGGTTGGAACTAAACTGTGCAGGGCTGCGGCCCTCCAGGAATTGAGTTTGACACCCCTGGACTAGGCCGACAAGAAAATGAATAAATTTTTATTATTATTATTAATATTATTTAATTAATATTATTATTATATTATTTAATTAAATGCAGGCAGGGCGTCACGGTGCTGGAATGGGTAGCACGATCGTCTCACAGCAAGACGCTGGTTCGAGCCCCGGCTAGGCCAGTTGTCATTTCTCTGTGGAGTTTGCATGTTCTCCCCGTGTTGGCTTGGGTTTCCTCCAGGTGCTCAGGTTTCCCCCAGTCCAAACACATGTGCTGTAGGGGAATTGAATAGACTAAAATTGTCCGTAGTGTATGAGTGTGTATGGGTGTTTCCCTGTGATGGGTTGCAGCTGAAAGGATAAAAATATGCTAGATAAGTTGGCGGTTCATTTCGCTGTGGCAACCCCAGATTAATATAAGGAAAATGAATGCAGGCAAGATCTTGAAGTTGACAGTAGATCTCGGTGTTGATCTGTGCTGATCAATATAAAGATGCAGGAATGCATTGAGTCTGAACTTGAGAATAAAACACACACGAGATTCATCCCTCTGTTTCTGTCAAGCCTCGCACATCTTGACCTCAGAGACCGGCCTGTTGCTATGGCTGCTCTCCCATGGCAACCACATCCATACAGCATCTATAAGCTTCATTAGACTTCAAGGCCTGGACCTCATGAGTTCAGCACACACTGTACTTTTGTTCAATATTTTATTATCAATGCAAATATGTCAGCTAGTTATGCTTCAGTGTGAATGATGCAGCAGAGAAAGAAAATAAACAGGATTTAAGCACTGATAATGACATAGATGCCAGAGATATTGCAGTTTTAGGAGCTAAAATGTGACATGTTTTGTAATAGATGTAGGTGATTGGCTGGTTTAGTGGGCTTGTTTATGCAGACTGTCAGAGAGCTGCTAAAACAAAGCAAACTAAATGTGAATCACTCCTAAACTGCTTAGCTCTGGATAAATCTAAACCTATGGCGGTGGTTGACGTAATGAGAGTTTATATTTGACATAAGGTGACATAATAGTTTGTTGTGAAACTGTGAATGCAGTATATACCGCAGATTTTGTATTTGAGAAGATGATTTGTTATTATTGGTGGCTCGATGGCTCAGTGGTTAGCACAGCAAGTTTTGCGCCTCACAGCAAGAAGGTCCGCATGGAGTCTAATCTTTTTAATTCAGATTTAATTCAGCTTTCATATGTAGGGCCCAATCTCACACCCGGCGCAATGTGGCGCAAGGAGTGACCCAATTGTTGTTTGCTAGTTTCAGCTCGGCGCAAGAGTCGCTTTGACATTTTGCGCAAAGCTGTTAAATAGCTAATGCATTTGCGTTCATATGTGCGCCCTTAGCCGTTCTGGTCTAAAAAAGCAGGCGTGTTTTGGTGTGTTGCTGGCGCGTTGCTATTTTGAGAAACTGTAATAGTCTGTTCTTTAGACCAGAACAAACCCGGTCTAAAGTCCTCGCTTACACACTGCTTAATACACATAAGATGTAGAACAATACACAAATATCTTTACATAAGAAAAAGAATTAAAATATTAAGGATATATATATATATATATATATATATATATATATATATATATATATATATATATATATATATATATATATATATATATATATATATATATATAT